TTCAGCCGTAGAAACCACTGCCGTTTCTGCCGTAGAAACCAGTGCTGCTTCAGCCGTAGAAACCACTGCCGCTTCAGCCGTGGAAACCACTGCCGCTACAGCCGTGGAAACCACTGCTGGTTCTGCCGTAGAAACCACTGCCGGTTCTGCCGTGGAAACCACTGCTGCTTCAGCCGCAGAAACCACTGCCAGTTCAGCCGTAGAAACCACTGCTGCTTCAGCCGCAGAAACCACTGCTGCCTCAGCCGCAGAAACCACTGCTGCTTCAGCCGTAGAAACCACTGCCGCTTCAGCGGAAGAAACTACTCCTGTGCGCTAATCTGCAGTGTTATTCCAAACCGGCTTCAGAAATGAACAGTTTCATTCTCTCTCCAAAATCCTAAATTAATCCTAAATCTTATTGACAGAGGTACCAGTTCACAAACACCATGGGTTATTACACAATGCAGGAAAAACGTTTCATTTTAATACTCAGTTTTGAACTCGACTACTAATTTTTCCACAAACAACATCCCCGGGACGCCACATACAAGTGCTTCAGTAATTTTAAATAAATTAGCTTTCACGCCTGCTAGCAACTCTCTACCAGGGTTAATGCTATTTTTCTCTAGCTTTTCACAGATATTTCGCTGGTTATTCACTAGCTGTGCACACATTTGTCCAGTACAAACCTTTTCCACAACATTGACGCCATCATTCTGTCTGGCTTCATGTAGATTGTAAGACTTACACATGCTAAACTTTTCGCGGCAACGTTCATATAGCGAATAACTCGCAGAGAATTTAATTTTTTCGAATACAGCATTTTATCAATGATATAAACTAAACACAATCTTCTTCAATATATGATACGATTTATTTTACGTTTGGCATAATCACAGATACACTTTCCCCTTGCTCAAAATATTACAATGTTTGCTTTGAATTTCTGGCTTAGAAAAATGTTTTCATCCTGACAATTAATAAAACGGCCATTAAGGCACTTGAATCCTTAAAAGTTTAACAGTTTCAAGTGATTCACTATTTCAAATCGCTCAAATCATTTTTACAAATCAAACACCAAGCTCAGTCCTTCCATTCAAGTACGACTCATGTCAGGATTCATAGTTTTCAGTCTGCATATCGTTCAGTCCTAAGATTTCATTCTGATCGTAATTCCTGTCATAGTGTTCCACTGTCATCTCTGGGTCTGGCTCTGGAGCATACACATTCTGTGGAGAAATAAACCAAAGAGGGCATCATGAGACAGCATCACATCTTCAGAAATTATACGGAATCCAATATCATAATGAAGCCACCAAGATGGGACTCCCTCTCGCAACCCCCCACCCAAAAAAAAAAATAAAAAATAAATAAATAAATAAATAATAAAGTTAATTTGTTTATTAAGCAAAAATGATTTATGTTCATTATATTTCATTTATGATATAAAAAATCATGACAGAGTGAATTAGAGACGGTTCTGACGATGTATCTACAGTTACTTTTTTGTTGGATTGAATGAAGTGAAACTTTTTTAACCACAAAATTAATCCAACATGCTCAAAATAAAAATAAAATATTGTTATATCTCAATAGAAGTAACATAATACTGACAAGAGTTCACTCTCTTTGGACTGGAATTCTGTAGACTATCATATTAATTGTTCCCAGTTGGGTTATTAAATACTGGGCCTTTGCCATCATGCTAATTTTTCATATAAGCTGGTTATAAATATCCTTTAATAAATTAATCACTGGTGATTTCTTAACTCTATGAACTTTTTTTCAGAAATTGGCAAAATCAAAAGCACAAACATAATGAATATCTCCAGCATGAACCCAGTGGAAGAATTATTTCACTTACCTGAATGTAACTATTACCAGCAGGGTCATCCAAAATAATGTGCACACCTAACCTCTTGCCACTAATGATCTACAATGTACAAAAATAAGTCCCATTTCTGCTGCAGAGACTGTGCATCCCTATTATTAGCTTTAAACATGACAGCCATATGACTGACTACTGGATTTGACATTTAGAGACTTAGTAATACTAGACTCAACAGAGACAAGGCTAATCAGACTAGTGGGCATTTCGATGATAGTTTCAAGTCATTTTGATCATCTACAGGCTTCATCTAAAGGCCAATTAATTTCGATTAAAAAAGTGATTTTCTGGACCACTTTTCCCAGTGAACAATGGACTAAATAGTCTAAGGCACAGACTGGACAACCTACTATTCAAGCTATATCTTATTTAGAGAAAATTTTGGAGACGTCTGGCAGACACTCTTCAGTCTTGCCTTGTGCTGTGGTTGATTTTTATACTTTCAAGAACTTACCTCTTCCAACCTGGCACAAAATTCCTGCACCTTGTTCCTAGTGTCAGACTGTGAACTATCTCCTGATATAAAGGGATTTTCTTCTCCTAGCTGAAAAGGTTATATCCAATTTTAAATTAAGTGTTTTGTCTTTTCATTCATTTAATACAGGTTTGTATGAAAGTAATTTGAATGAATGAAAAACTGCATATTCCTTGTAAAGAATATCTACAGAAACAATTCAGACTAGAATATAAGAGGTAATACTGCTTCCTGGGTAGGTACCACCAGCTGGATTAGGCAATTAAAGGGATCGCCTTAATAAATATAATATAATTAAAACAAGCTACATAGACTTTTCAATATTGGCATATAAAAGCTGATGCAAATATCAAAATATAACTTAGGCAGCACAAGCGAAGCACCAACTTATAGTTTATAAAATACAGTGGTTACCCCTAAACCAACAACTGGAAAAAAAGGGATCAACCCAGAGTTGAGCTTGTTCTTCTTTTTCAATTTCTGTTATAACTTTAACCTTTAACCTTGACAAGTGAAATGGCATACATTGCAATTTGACAGATTGAGTATGCTGCCCAACATATTACATTTTGTTTACATGTATGCCATCTCTTCAATTTGGTAACAGTTTCTCTCTCTCTCTCTCTCTCTCTCTCTCTCTCTCACATACACACACACACTCAAAAGCACACATAAAAACATACAAAAATACAGACACCTATTTACCTGCCCCTTGATATCAGTGAGGATACCCTCTACAGTGGTGAACTTTCCTCCCAAAGTGCCATGCTCCAATGTGAGTTCTAGCTCAGGAATCTCAAGTCCACATGTGTCAGACTGAAACGGGGAGAAAAATCTGGTCACTTCCCAAATTAACACCCCACTACACAAGCCATTTGGTCAGTTTAATGGACATGTGCATACTGGGTTTACACTAGGATACAAAGTCTTTCAGACACTCATCTTGGTGATTTCAGTCAAATCAGAACATCAAACCAAATCAATCACGTATCAGAAGAATAATATGTCAAATTACAACACCCTAAGCACTGAACTTAAAATCACTATTATTACTGATGCATCTCTGAAGATCTACTACTTCAGAGATGCATCAGTAATAAAACTTTTTTCTTTAAGATCTATATGGTGAATTGACATGAAACTTAAAATCACCAAGCAAACAATGAACTCAAAATATAATTATAGCAATCTTACCTTCAACAGATCCCTGGACAGGTCAGAGGGATCAGTCAAATGAAGCGATATTTTAATGCCTTTGGGTTCAATCCCAGCGCCTCCCTTCACCTCATTGTCTTTGGCGCCACATACATCGCACACGGTGGCCATGATAACAACCTGCTTGAAGTTTGGAATATCTGGACTATGTTAAGGAGATATTATATATGATACTGTATGAAGGCAGTTAGTAATATTTCTGTTTTACATGTAGCAATGGAACAGTCCTTCCCCAACTTACTACCTATAGTCATGTCTTCCCTGGAAAATGTGTGGAAAATTTTGGCAATGTCTTTAATTTATGTCAGGAAAAACCTCTTTAACTTATCAGTAAAAAAAAAAACTGAAAAATAAATAACCAATGGCAATGATAAAGGAGGTGGACTAGACCTGGTCGGCACAATACAGCTCAATCTGCTACAGTGCTGTATTACATCCAGAATTGCAGTGCATGCTATTACACTATGAGAAATTGACACGTGGTACTGGCATCTGATTGTATTTAATATGATATGAATGATGTTGATCCACAAGGATACCCACTAACTTCATGTTAGTATCACAAGGACTGTTACAGTTTGGGCAGTTACTGCGGAACTGGAGCACCTAGAAAACGAAATTAAAAATCAGTTCAACCATGAAAATCACTGATAAAACATGTCTATCAATGCTTGCATGGTTACTATGAGATAAAAAAGGCGAAGCTATTATGTAAAGTTCATTGTTGCTAATTGTAATTTTTAAACAGGTTAAAATGAAATTCAAACTTGAGTCCTAGATTATTAAACAATTTTTAATTTATATGACTTCTGTACATTCTGAATGCCTTTTCTAAATGCCTTTTTAAAATTTTATACTCGACTCCATCAAGTGATACATTTGTGTCAATAAAACAGAGCTCAAAACAAATTACCTCATCTTTTAAATTGGCTTCCACAGCTGCTTCTTCTGCTTCTGGTTCTATGTTCTCTGTGGCATCATCAGGCTGAAATGGCAAACACCCACAAGTCAATAAAAGTAACATAACAGGTCAAGTTCCCACCCCTGCAGCAGCCTTGTCAATACCAATTTGAAATGCAAAAAAACTATAAACTGTATACTAATATTCCTTACTTCACAATAATCTTTGACACTGCTTTTGTTTTGCATAAATTTCCATACTTCTCTTCGGATAAGGTGTACAAATCGATGACACAGTTGTATTAATCTACATCTACTTTGAATAATAACACATTTGTGATCATACCAGGATCCCCAGAAGTTTATTTTGTTCCAGATTCCTGGTATATTTTGTAACTGTGAGTCCAGGGTCAGCCTTCAGAGCACTGGGATTCTCAATATAACTGTTTCCACTGGGATCATTAACAAGCTGTAAGATGAAATATTTTCCATTTACACATTTATATCCTACACTGTGGATCCACTCTAACTGAACACATTGTTTTTTTCCCCAATATACAAAACATATTATTCTCATCTACATAAAAATGAAAAATAAGTTACAATTTTTCTTTCTAAAATTTCACATTTATAAAGCTCTAATTTTTAATCTGGCAAAAATAATAGCTTAGATACACTTGGACAAGTTATTTCTTAGAGAACAGCCTCATGGTATTTGCACAAGATCAGTCCTAGGGTTACTATCCATATGTAAAAGCAGACGCAAATCTTTGGAAAGGCTGACTTGTTAAAACAATCATCTTGTAAACAACATATCACAGTCCTGGTTTTTTTATCATGGTGAGAATTTAAAAGATATATTTTCACTATTGTACAAATATGGGCCTTAACTTCTCACTGTCAACATATAATGACTTACAAAAATGAAGGGTTTCTCCAGATCTTTTAATTTCTCAAACTTGGTAATAAATTCATCTATTTTGGCTGCAGTATCTGGATCTATTGCCTGAAAAAAAAAAAAAAAAGGACCAATGACATTTATATCAAATGTAAATGTTTTACAAAGCAAACAAAGTAAAGCAGAATTATGCTGGGGACACCATAACAGAAGTAACCTTAAATATATCCTTTCTCATTTGAAAGTCACTATTATACCAGTCTGATAATCGCAATTGTCTTACCTTCCGTACTGGCTGGTTCTGCTGTAATCCATCCACGGCTCTAGTGATCACCCCTTCTACTGTAGTTAGCACTAAAACCAACCAAGTTTTATTTTATTATTCTTTTTTAGAGAAAGTTTATACTAAAAGATATCTTGACCCAGGTGTCACCACCGACTCAAGATGAGACTAATTCAGGATACCAAGATTGCTGATGTATAGAAAGCCAATTCTTCACAAATTAGTACTCACAATTTGGAACTACCCCACTTATTCCAAGGTATCATTCTGTGAAGAGTTACTAGTTTTATCATAACATAAAAAAAAAATTTTGTAACACGAATACAGCTTAATTTTCAGAACTTGAGTTTCATTTTCTGTCAGTGCCACTTCACATAATGACCATATTTTAAGTATCTGGATTGCAATTTTTTACTGACAAGAAGGATAAAGCTCTGAAAACATTTTCATGTTGTGAACCAGTTTAAGACTTCTATCAGTCAGTTGAGTTAAGGTTACTTGCTATCCAAGTTTAGCATGTTTAGCCAAGTCCAAAAATCTTTTTTTTTTTTTTTTTGTGAAACAAAGACACAGAACTTACATCCTTTGTTAGGTGGAGCCTCAAATTCCAGACTCGGAATGGACATGGTTGCAGTGTTGGATAGCACCACCTGTCTGTTTAAGTCCTGAAACAAGTCCAATAATGTTTTTTTATTATCATTCTAAAAGTGTTGCAGATTAAAACAATTGAAAAAGTTGTATAAAACATATTAAATCATAAAGAACAAAGCAAAGGTTCAAAGACTGTTTGGTTTAAAGTAATGTGATCCTTTTGTGAGAATAATTGATATTTGCCAGCTTTCAAACAAGTGGAGATCTAGAGCCCCTTCAAGTGAAAGTGGCCCCCTAAGAGTTTCTGTAACTTCTCCACCTGTTTAGCTGCCACGGTGAGCTTCAAGATGACCCCCCTCTCCTGTATGGGCCCTGCAGACTGAATCTCACTGTCCTGGTGACCACACTGGTCACAGCTGAACGACGACACAATCACATCCTTGAAAAATGGAATCTTGGTTAACATCAACCTGGTGGTTCCCTGGAGGAGTTATAAAACAGAGATTGTTTAAAAATGGCCTAGATAACTCCTTGTATAAATCACTCTTGCAGTGCTCATGTAGACAATGAAAAAGATCAATATTGAAACCATTATATGATGATGGTAACAATGACAACACTTTAAAATTACAAACTGGAAAAACAAAAGAGATGCTTTCCTAATCATAAAGAACACAATAAGTTGAACAGGTCATTAATATCTTACATGTATATTACACAAATATATAGATATTTCTTTAAAATCTCTACATTTTTCTATACATGACAACCCATGGATATTTATTTCATTATTCTAGAAAAATAGCATCTTCATCTCGCAATATAGCCCTCTTTCACTCTCACATCATGTAAACATATAATAAAATGGTGCCCTGAAAGAAATACAGGGTACAGTACCTGTTCATGGCAATTCAAACACAGACTTTCTATTTCATGGAACGGAGCATCATCATCTGGGTTGATATTCAGGAAAATTGGTCCATTTTTTTCTGCCAATGCCTGCTCCTCCGTGTTTTCTGACATGTTGGCAAAAGAACCTTTATTTTCTTGCCTTTGTCTTTTACTGATTTTTTCCTGTAGTATAGTTAAAAATACAATGCAATTGGTCCTGTTGATTTATCTCCATATGACAAACCTGTACACATGCACAGCACACTACTTGTAGAGTAATACTTAACATGTAAGTCATATCTTTTTAAGTTTTATCTATATGAAGACATTTGTGTGCTTTATATTTATATGAATTCAGATATGAAAACATGTGTGTGCCCTAACTAAAGTTCATATATCATTTCTGGCCATATTATTAAAATCGTTTAAAACACTTTGCCGGTACACTATGGTACACTAGTGTCGTATTCTTAAGTCGTTTTCTATGGTTTTATGTTCATAGACCCATCAGGGTGATAGCTGAGCGTGGTATACAGGTTCAGGACTCGAGAACCTTTTCTCGAATCGTCTTACTTTGCAATGTTTACTACTACATTTACTACAGTGGTTTACAAGGTACGCCTTTAAATTGACCCACAGCGATACGTATGTACTCAAAATATTAGTGAACAAACCCATACCTGTTCTGAACTCCTTTCACATACAGTAGCTGTTAACTCAAAATGACATTGCCAGTTTGTTTTCGCTTAAAGGTCAACAGCTTTTTAAAACACATGTGGAACCTCCGGCCGGAAGTTAAATTGCTTTCCCGGAAGTACTAAGTACGCAGCCGCAATCGGTACCATGTGATCTGTTATAACCAATCTAAATCAATGTAGGTATGCACATGGCCGAGGCTGCAATTGCACTGAAACTTACAAAATCAAGAAATTATTAGTAAGACTCTCTGTGAATCAACTCGATCAAGCCACACAATCTCAGAGCACGATATGGGGACGGTTCATGCGGTGGAGGCGAATCCTCAGAAAGCTGGGGCGTCTGTTGGGTATATTCCTGCCCCAAGCATGGTGCAACCCCCGGTCGCCGGTCAACCCCCACCGGCTCAACAAGAACCCCCGCCACAGAAAGAAGATGACGGTCCAGGGACGTTCGAAGATCTTCATAAAGCATGTAAAGGTATGTTGGTTAATGTTGCGTGTTTTTTTCCCTTTGGTTAGTATGAACCTCTCCTGTGCATGTTACACAGCTCGTACTCATTCTCATTCGTTGCTTTCATCATCACCATCTTCATCCTGC